AGGCTTGACGCCGGACAGATCTATAATGTGGGTCCCTGAAGTTCACCGAGGTGCCGAATTTGGATCCGTGTTGGCAAACTCCCGAGGCTCGGATATTAGGCAACCATATTATCTTGTTTTCATCAATAACATCGCCTCTGTCAAGCGAGTCTTGATCTAAATATCATTGCGATTCTTCTCACAGGTTATGGGAGCGCAGTGGCTTCCAAAAATCGGTAAAATACCACGTGCAGATGCCAAGTTAGAACAGTGGTTGGTTCTGGGGAAGAATACATAGACGCATGGGTACTTTACAAAGAATTTGACCGTATAAAGTGAATGGAGATACCGTGGTATCTTGTGGGTGTAGTGACCCATTTCTGTCGCAAGGCAGTGCGCGCCCATCTGTTTTAAATATCTCAACATGACTTACTTCAGGGTGCGTGATACGTCTTGGTAGCACCTTTTCTCTCCTCGTCAAGTTTGGTATGTAGCGGAAACGTTTTGTCGATCAATTATGCGTGGGAATAGTCATCATTGAACGTTGAAAAGCTGGGGAAACGAGGACAACGAGTTAAACGGCATAATAGTGGCGCGGGCATCGGTGATGTGTTTTCGCTGCCTGATGAAAAACATGGACATAAGAGGGTGACACGGATGCCATACGCATATCATTTGGGCTATTGACAGAAAAAAAACACAGCTTGTCGCATTGTTTCCCATAAATGTGCCCCTCTTCTTTGTGAGTCACTTTATAGTAAAATCTGGCAGTTGGTTATTGTTTAATGTACGGTTGTTATCTTTCGTTGATCTCCTAGAAGGGTCGCGTTGGAGCTATGAAAGTTCTATTTGTCAATAGCACCAATGCGCAGGTCAATAGCGGTGCAGAATTGGAGAACCAGAATGGATGAATCACAATGGTATGCAGGTAAACTCGGGAACTGCGTATGAAGCGCAATTGTCGGGACACCCCAACATAATAATCGCCAAGCCACAACATTGATGGGGCGCTGATACACAGCCCCGGTGATGTCGATGAGGCGCGCAGTTATACATCTAGGGGGTATACGAGTCGGGGCAACCAGGCAGAAGGCTCGCTTAATTCGAACGGAATGCGCGCGCACGCCAGCAGAGACTCGGGGATCCAGGGCTGCAAGTGTGGGGAAGCCACGAGGCATATCAAAAATGAAAAGTTAGTTGTAATTGTATGGAATAGACAATACAGGGCGGGATGCATGCAAGCAATGCGCGGAGAATAGGTAATAAGGTGCTATGGCAAGCAAGTCGGTGAAGCTGAAGCGGAAGGGCAGTGCAAACAGACAGAGCCGAAAGGGGAAAGGGGCGAGTTGAGCTAGTTCGACTTGACAAAAACTTTTTCTTGCCATTTTAAGACGAAGTGAAAAAATAGCGAATCGTGTGTTGGTGATTACCTACTTATAACAGCTGGTCCGATGTCCTCCCTAAGCCTACTTCCCTCCAGCTTTTTATCGTCACGTTACCAATGCCAGTTGTACCCCCAGGCGCTGCTCATGACGTCCCACGAAAGTCGGTTAACCTCACTAATGCTCCCCGTTCCCGCTCTTACCCGACCATCGTATGTTTTTTTCCCATCCCTCTGCCACACACAACTCAGCCTCCTCTAGCCTACAGTGCAGCAGCCTGTCACTCCACAGCTGCAAAAAGATCCGTTTTACGGTCACGAATCCGTCGCTCGTCTTAGTGCACGATTCATTACATTCCTCTTCACCTGCCCCGAGCACCCCCCCTCCTCGCATACCCAACAACCGAAATTACCGCAATTTATTGCGTACGCGCTCCACCGCACAAAACTACATCCCTCGGTAGTGTTCGCAGGTCTCGTCCTTTTACAGCGACTCAAGGCGCGATTTCCGTCCGCGAAGGGATCGTCGGGGCATAGATTATTTATTTCCGCTTACATGATCGCCTCGAAGGTGATTTGTGACGACACCTACTCAAACAAATCTTGGACGATCGTTGCGCAGGGCCTATTCACACTGAGGGAGATCAATCAGATGGAGCGCGAAATGTGCTCGTACCTCGACTGGGAGCTAAACGTCGACAGCGATACGATGGCGCGCTTCGAACGTGCCGTGAAGAAGGACTTTTCTCAGCAGCAAGAATCGTACCCCACTTATCCCGTCGAAATGGTTTCCAAGCGCGCTACCAGGGCAGCTGCCTCGACCTCTGCAACGCCTATACCCGAGCCGAACTCGACTACCAGTCCGATACCCGTATTTTCCCAACAACGCAACGCTTCTCCATCGAAACCGAGTTCTCAAACGCCCTCGCGGAGCAATTCGACGTGGTCCAGCCCGAACTCCTCCGACCCCGATACCCCACCTGCGACCTACTCCAATTCCACTTCTCCGGCCTCGTCCGCGTCACCGACAACGCCAACCAGCATGGACGAGTATAACCCGAAGATCCAGGGCGCCGAGCTATCGCCACATTTTGCACTAGCCGAGGTGCAACCGCCAATACAAATAAAAGAAAAAGTCTTCGCCATCGCTATCCCGGCCGTCTGGTAAACACCACTCTCACCGCGTTCAACGATGTCAATTGTCACCCGGAATATGTATCATTTCGCACGCATGCACATATACCCCCGCATATCAAGCCAATATGGACCAACAAGCATTGTACACCGTCCCTCGTTTACATGGATTAAATTTTTTATTTTAATTTGTGGTTCTTTACATATTTTCTACCTAATGTATAAACATACTAGACAATGTTACAATGATCAGCTGAGCTGACATGTCTATGAGAAGCGAGTTCCCGGGTGCGTTGCAACTTGCAACGCTGGCAATCAGTTACACTGCAAATCGTATCAACTGCCGCTGTGGTGAACGTTCTAATCAGAATCACACGTGACATTGATGATACGCTCAACCGCTTCCTGTGTTTTACATTCGCACCACTTGTCCGAAGATAACCCTGGTCTGGGGCGTGGCCCGATTTTCCGAAACTGAGCCAGATGATTAACGTCAACACGACTCCGTCTGTAGGTAAAGTTCCCAGTCAACAGGCGTGTAGTGCGGAAATTTCAAACACGAGTTCGACTAATGGAAAACGGAAAAGCGGCAGGCCCAACGGACCTGCGACCTCAGTGGAGAAGTATCATGAGACCCTTTCTGTGGCTTGTGGCGACGAGAATAGGCGAGACCTCAAGCTCCGCTGTCACTGCACTTGAGGGGAACAAATGCGTATTACAGGCGCACTAGATCGCCGTGTCATGTGCGGGTGGAGAACTGTGCCCTTCCAAGATGGATTGACAACTGCAATAGACCTCCACGGTCAAATGATCCACGGACAGGTTTCCAGGCTTCTCCGTCAACCATCTCCCTCGTGTTGGCGTCACTATCGCCCGACGAAGCCTTGAGGCAACTTTTGCCTCGTGGTGATTGCAATGGTAAGTTATCGGCACCGGATCATCTTACCCGATCCGTTCTAATCAAAGCACTCATTCGCTAAGAATCGCCATAACTGTATGACACGAGGTTGGTGCTGCCTGGAGCCTCCCTCAATTGCACCGCGATGTTGGTCTGGACTTACTCGGTTGCGATTTCGCCCGAGAAGCAGCTGTGGAGATAAAGCAAGCATGTTAGGCGATTTCCAAACGAAATAAGGTTGAAACATAAGATTGTCGACACGTTCCGGTCTATCGTCATAGCGCAATGACCGCATTTTACGGGTGCACTAAAAGCCGGGATGGGCGAGAACAATCTCGGTGGCTCGGTGATGTTCAAATCGACAAAGAGACTTTAGCACTGCTTCGGGTCTGGCCCTTGTCCCGTGTCCGTAGACCATCTTTGCATCCGTCCCCGAGCGCGTCAAATTTACGCCTTGTCAGTCGGAGGCATGGCTGTTCAATCCAGAGCGGAATTCGGTGTATCTCTCACCGCAATATTGATGTCAAATGAATCGGATCAGTTCATTTGTTTCAGTTCATTCCACGTTGCGCTATTCCCCATCTGAACCGGCATTTGGTAAGGCAATAATTCAGTATCAGATAATGTGAGCATACTTTTCTCAGTTTAGATGTGAAGAACTGTCGTAATCCTTAGCGTGGCACGCACGAGTTTGCCATGCATCCTCAGCGATCAAGGACATCGCGGACTGTCATAGAATGAACGTGGACATATTTGGTATGCAAGACTTTCGATCACGATCGAGTAGTACTAAGCGCGCTTCGACTATCTTAAGGTGAACGGGCGTCTATAATGTGACTTTTAAGGCAGGCTGGGGAATGCACGATATCGCTCAAAAACATATAACCTTCTTTCCATTTGATAAGGTTATCAAGAACGTAACAATACTTCGTCATGGGACAAACGTGGTTAACGTTGTTCTCGCGGGTTTACTCAACTAGAACAACATGTACGGGAAATGAACTCGGGGAACATCACACTTTCTCCCAGCGTCGGCGTCAATCTGACGGGTATATATGGACCCATAGCACACTTTCGCAAATACATGTCTACAAGGGTTTCTGATGAAGCGAAGTGTGCTAGCGGTCTCATTTGACAGCTTCTATTCACATTTCCGCATGTCTTCACAGTTGAAGAGCATTTCTGGAGCCAACTGAGATTAGGTCGACTGAGCTGTTCTACCGGGACAGATGCCGGCTTGCGACCACCAACATCGTGTGCGATAGCGAATAATCAATCATTCATCATTGGCAGTTGATGTTGAATTAGCTATGCTGTTTTCGAATGCAGAGAACTTGAGGTCCCGAGTCATCACATAGGTGGACCTGACTTGATTAGGTCTCATGCGTTACTTCAACAGCTACCCTGTTACTACAGGCACAGGATCACAAGAAGTGTACGCCTTTCTGAGGAAAATGTTATCAGGCTCCTGTAGCGCAGCCTTACTGTTCAGACCCTTGATGCAATTGTCCTGTATGTTTGATGATGAGAAAACAGCCACAATCGAGAACTTACCTGTGAACGGGGTCAGGGACAAAATAAATACTTGTCGAATATGGGAAAAACAATTGCATTAAGGGGGAATCGAACCCCCGGCGGGTCGAAGTTACCTATTGGCAACGACCCAGGTTACCACTACCCCATTAATGCCTTGTATAACTGTTATTCAGTCTCAGATTTAACATATGAGTCAGACCCGTTGGGAAAATGAGTCGGAGATCGAATCGCTTTCTCAGCAGTGACGCCTCTACTTCAACCCAACAAATATGGCTTTTGGTTTAACCATTGGCACTGAACGAGCGGCTATTCTTCAGGTATGTGGCGCATTCATTTGCATCCATTCTTTTTCTAATGCACATCGATAGAAATCCATTCAAGATGAACTCACAAGGCGGGGTTACAGTCAGGATGCAGGTACAGTTCACGTTCACTGCATGCGGGTTACGTCTTACAATTTTTTAACAGACCCTGTTATGGCTGAATACATAACTATTATGATCATCAACAACAAAACAGCAGGTCTGTAAACGTCTAGTCAATTATACAATTTGCGCTCATTCATAATTTTTAGTGCAAATCACAAGCGAGCTAGAAGATCGTGCGTTTTTCACCATAACCTATCCTAGTATTGCCTCGTGCTGACATATGGCTTCGCGATAGTGATAGGGAGTGATTTCGGTACGTTGAACAATCTGGAACGTCATGGAATGACCTAACCGTTTCTGTATGCAGACTCGAGTTTTACTGATTGGCTGTTTCTTGAAGCAGCCAAGGGAGCTCCAGGGTCTGATGAGCCTGCGCAGGTTAGCCCACCTTCCAACGAACCGACCGAAGGCATCGTGCCACCGGAAGCGCCACCGCAGGTATCTGACTCATCGCGTCGAACGCCAACCGCAGCCCGTAATGGCATCTACCAGCAAGCTATTTCTCAGGCGATCCCATCCGCCTCGACTGGTCAGAAAAGGCGAGCTGACGGTCGGTCTCCGTCACCGGGTCTCCCGAACAAATCGAGACGGATGGACCTGCCGACCGCACCTCGTGCCATGCAGCGTGATTCAGGTGGAGGGTCGCAATCAGGTTCAAGGAGCTTGTTGGACCGAGTCGGGGGACCGGCCGGACGGAATCCAACGAATCAGAAACATGACGAAATCCAGGCGCGAATTGACAATATCGTTAATAACGCGCCTGAAAGTAACATGGTGATGGGCGGTGGCTTCCCCATGAATGGGATGGAAATGAATCCCATGGCGGCAGCAAATATGGCAAATCCTTTATTGCTGCAGGAGATGATGATGAACCAGATGTCGTTGATGGCACAGATGGCGTCGTCGATGGGAATGCTGAATCCAGCCACAGGGCAATTCGTTACGCCTGGTTTCCCTATGCAGGGTGTTATGCCACAGGATATGGGGATGTTCCCAGGAGGTATGAATAATCCTATGCAAGGTCCAATGGGGATGGTAAACGGGCGAGGCAGAGGTGGCGGAAGGGGAGGCAGAGGATCTGGCAGAGGTAGAGGCGGTCCTTCTGGGCCATCTACACCGAGGGCTTCAGAAGTACCATCCGAGATCCCGAGCCCTACTAAACAACCCGCCGTCATTGCTGCGCCAACACCAATACCTGCTACGCCTATTGTTCCTATCCCTTCAGTTGCACCGACTATTACCGCCACATCTCAACAGCGGATACCTTATGCGGTGCCGGAACGCCCACAGTCGCCTACTTTGTGTAAATATGGGCTCAAATGTACCAATCCCCATTGCCGGTATTCTCATCCTTCGCCTGTTGCTACAGCCGAAAGTGGCGTTGTTCTCAGCAATGAAGCTTGCGAGAAGGGAAAAGACTGCAAAGACAAAGATTGCATTAAGGCCCACGTCAGCCCTGCTGCTCTACACCCACCAGGTAGGGCATAAGTTATTTTGTTACTTTCATAACTCACCATTCCCCATAGCCGAGCAAGCACCACCGCCGGCACCCTCGCATGCTTTAAATCCGCATACGTCTCCAATACCTTGTAGATTTGGGGCTGCTTGTACAAGACAGAATTGCTCCTTCGCCCATCCATCACGAACACATTTTGTGCAGCCATGTAAATTCGGCGCTGCTTGCACTCGCGCGACTTGCCCATATCAACATCCTGAAGGTCGTACGTTACCTTCAACATTCCACCGTGGCTTGTCTACGAACGCGCCCCTGGTAACCGTTCAGACACCAGAGACCGGATCGATGGGGGTAGCGAGCCCACACAAGAGCGTGGTGTTCAACAGTCTCGGTCCGGGAGCAGGTGTGAAGGAAAAGCTGGAGCAACAAATGAGAGAGATCCAGGAGAAGAAGAACGAGGCAGAGAAGGCTGTCAAGGAAGCAGAAGCTGCGGCCGCTAAAAAGAAAGACGATTCGAAACCAGTCGCTATCACCGTCTAGATGCTCCCACATGTTGCAACGGGAGCCCTCAAATCACGCCAAGTCGTTGCATGAACAGTTCACCTTACATGGCACCTGTAAACTTTCTCCAACCGCTCCGATACTTAAGATATGTAATCGCTTCTCATTGTAGTATTCTCATTCTTGCGCCTCGTTCTCCTTTCCGATCCTGCGGTTGCAGAAAGGTGTTATTTGCTATTATATATCTTACACCCAAATCACCAATTCGCTTTCCCACTAAACACATAGCTACATAGTTGGTCTGGATGGAGTGTAACAGAGGTTCACCCTGCTGAGTGGTCTGAAAATGTCAGCCATTCACGCATTGCTTTAGATCCAAACGTTCGATGTAAGAAAATCAAATTGGAGATACATGGATGGATGGCCTCTAAGATATTCTATTGCCATCCTTGTCTACCCACAATCTAATCCTGTCCCCATTACCAATGTCTTTGAACTGCAGGATCCGTTAGTAGAATGCTTACTCGATTTTGATCACATACAGTCAATTCCCGAGTTCTATGCAAACTCTCGATCTCGTCAATGCGGGCCCTGACATTGTCCAGCAATTCGTCGAAGCCCTCTTCCTCCACCACTTCACATGCAGCATGTAGAATCAGCATGGAGTTTGGACGTACGTTGAAATCAGTCTGTATAAAATATTATAAGTCAACAACGTTATGACATTCTTAGCACGCACATCGATGGAAACAATGTTCAATTGGTCCAGTTCTGGAAGACCGTCAGTTCATATTCATAGCTGCGGGTATTGGGACTACCTTCCAGGAAATCGGCTCGAGTCATGATACGTCTACATTTCCACTGCCAACGTCAACGGAACCGCAACCAAAAATGATTCTGATCAAACTTACATATGGAATCACAGGTAATGGAAGTTCGGCATTATCAGGATCAACAAAACCTGCTTTAATCGCCTCCTCGCGTTCCTTGATTTGTTCTTGCCTCAGCTTGGCAAACTCGCGAAGGAGAAGCCAAGAACAAGAGCTCCATTTTTGCTAGAAAGCGGTATTGTTAAGAACTTGGTTTGACTCAGTTTGAAACATCCTCTTACTTCGTCCATCACATCATCGTCACAGTCAGGGATCAAACCTGCAATATATGTTGTAGAGTTGCAATAATAGCACAGGAAAGAAGACGGACCAGTTTGACTGAGTAACCATTCCTTTTCTTTCGCTACAAGGTGTTTTGCCTTGTCAAGCATGTCTTTGGATCTTGAAACCTAAGCCCGGCGACTGCGTGAGTCGGGTCACTGGAAAAATTCTGATCCTTACTTGGTTCAGGTACGAGAGCCGACCGCCAACAAGGGAGACCACTTTTTTAAATTCTTCTTCGCTGGCATGATCAAGCTGCGAATGTGATCTTAGATAGGAAGTGGCTTGTAATGCCTCCTCTTCTTTCAAGTCCGAGATCGACATGACCTATACTCGTTGTGAGATTCGGGTCGCGTAAAGGAGACTAAAGTTGTCGTACAGTCATTCGACTTGCATTCTTGCCTGAACTTCGCGTCAAATTCCGAACCGAAATGCACAAAGTTAAAAATCGTACGCATTACATGGAATGGCCAAAAGGCATCGCTGCACAATTCGTTGAATAAGAGTAGATAAGAAGCATACCACTTACGAGCTAAAAACTAAGGTAACGATACCTGGGGGACATGAGATGCATAGAGGCGCGAACTTGACTACATACCACTAGCGGCCCACGCTTCTGCATTCTGTTGAAGCTGAAGAAGAATACTGCGACCCTCCTCGTCATTTTTGAAATGGTGCACGTTATTTATGACCAAGACTAGAGGTTTGTTTCTTTTCCGAACACAACGAAGAGCGACTTTTTCTAACTTGTTCAAGGCTGGCACGAGGTTAGAATATGTTAAGACGGATTATTGGGAAGCGAACCTCTTTCGATGTCGAGGCGGGGTCCACCTGTCCGATGTCGTTTCTTAGTCCCGCGTAGAGCCACGAGAATGGCAAATACCTTCTCTGGGATCCCTTCTCTGAAACAAACCGGTTTGCGAATCCTCAAAAAACTCGAAATTCAATGCCTTGCCAAGTCTCAGACGAAATACTTCAAGGTCAGGGTGAGCTTCGCACACGGAAACCCCATCAGCCTGGCAAGTTGCCATCGCGTCCAAGATCATTGTCCCTTTCCCTGTACCCTGGAATATTCATTTAATTTCAAGTTCATAATGTTTTAAGGAAGACTAGCCTTAGGGCCAAGTAGCATATAATAGTGACCCGCTTCTTGACCATGAATAATATTGTCTATGGCACCTTGCTCTTTACGGCTCAGTCTACTGGTCCAAGAGGCGTCAACATCGTCTTCTTCGGAGTGTTTGATATGATGGGTTGCCAGTTCGAGGGCAGGATCGTAGCCAGGAGCGAATGCTTTCTCCATCTAGGTGAAAACCCGCTTGCGAATGAGGACGAGCATTTCTGTGGTTAATAACTTACTTGATTCAATACATTCCACTTGTACCATTGCAGATACCCGATCCCACCAACGAAAACTAAACTAAACATATCAGCGAATGAGGCCTGAGGAAGGAGTCTCCGTGCTTGCCTACACCAATGCCAACGAGCGTAGCAAAGATTGTGTCCGTCAGAGGCGCATTCGTGATGCTACTACCTCCAGCCAGTGAACCACCAGGTCCCCCTTGCACGACGCTTTGAGCGGGGGTCACCGATGAGTCTTCCGAATAGAAGCGTCTTGTGGGAGGATGCTTGACATGTATTGCCAGCAACGGAAGTTTACTAGAAGGACGACGCGACAGAAGAATCAAACGATTCATCACAAACATCATTTACGCAGCAAACGTTGTCAATAAACCAACAATGTATGTTCTATGTAGAATCCTGACTAGAGATCCTGACCCCGTATTCCTCATTGTCAGGTTTGTCCTCTTCTTCATTTCCTTTGTTGCCCGTCGATATGTGCAGTAACACGAATGGCATATTTTTCGCCCCTTTCGAGAACCCAAACGGTGCATGAAAAAATGGGAAAATCGCCTTTTTTTCCATTCGCTTGTCGTCCTCGATGTATTGCCTCCATTTCTTCTGGGATCGTTTACACATGAAAGGTGTTCCATCCCAAACTGTCCGGTCCTTCTTCATCTTGCTGGTAATATGCATTTCGATACCTATTCGCATCCAAACGAGCTCGTTTGCATCTCTGACGGTGGTGTCTGCTTTTCTTAGGTTCTGCTGCAATACTCGATCCGACTCGTCCAACGCCTCCAGCAGAAAAGTTTTTTCATCTACAAGGTCCGTGAGTTCGCGCCTAACGAATCGTAGGTCTTTCTTTGTTGGAGCCCCAACTTCTGGCGTTTGCTCTCGAGGTGGTGGGAACCTTGCTTGGGATTGCGACTCGCTCTTTGCGGCATTGCTCGAGAGCCCCGATTGGACTGCATCTGCTATCCTGACATCATTCTCTTTATTGGAATTGTTATCTACAAAAGATGTCAATCACTGCAGTTGTGCATTTGGGGTTGTGGGTATTACAATGTGCACTTGGTATGCCAGGCACGAAAGCTCGTGTCTTCTGGTTCAAGGGAGAATCGTCATCGGGAGATGGTGCCGTAGAACTGCAAGAAGTTAGACCCAGCCGACGTATAGGCTCTTTGGCGTACCGAGGACGCCCCTCTGGGTCTCTTTGCAAAAGACGACGTATAATATCCTCAGATTTCAGGTTTGCTTTTATGCCCTCTTTCTGTACCCATCAAGATGACTTATGCATGCAGCATTGGAACATCGCGATTACCCACCTTGGCGAGGACTTGCAGCTCGCCCCGGCTCAAGGCTTGAAGGGCTGCTCTACTTCGGGGACTGTAAGTACGCATGATACCGATTTGGCTGAATGTGCGGCAGGAAAACCGAAACACGCTTTCATGTGGCCCGCCATGTCTGCGGCTTTCTTTGTTACTAGAACAATGATACACCTCCGCCTCTGGCTAAGCGCTCTAGAAAAATTCCATTCAACCAGTATACAAGGCAAGATGGCCGAGCGGTCTATGGCGTGTGACTCAAGCGAAAGCTTGCCTGTACAGCAGGTTTCTCATCTCCGAAAGGGGGCGTGGGTTCGAATCCCACTCTTGTCAACATTTTTTGCTGTTCGCGAGAGGCACTTTCCCACGCATAGGACAAAGGCCTCAATCGCCACACGGCCACATCCTATAATTGAAGCGGCAATGGGCCTGCTTGACGAGACAAAGGATGTACATCTGGCCTGTTTTATACGTAAACCTTTTTCTAATCTCTCTGACCCTCCGACAATATATCTATCCCTATACTTGAGCATTTTCTGCGGTACAAATGGACGCGACATACTTGCGCCAGCTTAGACGTGCTGAATTACAAAAAATAGCCAAGGTATGCCGTGTTCGACATCAGTGGCAAGTGTAAACTCAATAAGCACAGGACAATAACGTAAAAGCCAATCTGAAGAGCGAAGTCATCATAGACGTCCTCTTGGAACGATTTTCCCTATTAAAAAAGTAAATTTGCACCTAGTTTATCCTAAAATACTCCTGATTTCTGAAAGGTCTGAAGTCAGAGATCGCGCTGCTGCTGGCTTGGAAATCAATGGCGCGCCCGAGGCACTTCCCTACAGCACATCTAGACCCCCCGCCACGGAGCCCGGAAACCAGACCCTTCCTGATTTTGACAAGGACTCGGAAGCGGACGAATCTGTTGAGGCCGAGCCCGCGCGACGCACTTCCGCTGCGCCATCTGGTGAAACTCACGTCAGATGGAATGCGGATGCAGCTGTCGAACCTACTCATGATCCTCGTCATGACATCTACTACCCGGACAGTCCTCCGGATTATTCAAAAAGGGAAGATTTACCCGCCGACGAAAATCTCGTCAAGGAGACCGTCGAAATGATAGCTGTCATTGACCGAGACAACCAAACGATTATGGAACGGATTATTAAATTACGTGCAGCTGCTGCAGAGCTTAGGTCTCGCGCAAAGGCTGTCAGAGCGGTAATTCGAGGCGAAGACTTAAATCGAACTCGAATCATGACCTACCTCACCTACTGGCAGCCCATCAATGACAACTGGTCCTTTCATGAGGTCTGGTCGGGCAAAATCAAAATACGCCATCCTGATGATCTTGCTGGGGTTACTACTAGCGACGAAGAAGATATGGAGGAAGTGGAAGATGAACAAAACGCGTAAGAAATCCTTTTAGTGGCATACGTGTATCCACAGCTAATACCTTGCACTATAGCGTTGACCCACAACCTAATCCTCCGGAGCATGCTGACGAGAATGCTGTTGCTAATCCTGAGAAGTATGTATTAAAACAGTGCCGACAATCCGAGTTATTGACGACTAAGAAGTGGTTTTGTTAATGAGAATGCGGTGCAGCTATCAAATTCACCTACGAATATGGATCCAGCTATGAGGTACCTTTTTTTTTTACGAAGCTAGCACTCGCGTTGACCACTAACAGGGACCTCATGGGTTCATCTAGCATTGTGGTAGGCCAGAAGCGGCTGCGTGAAGATGAAGATATAGTAGAGGACGCTGATTTGGACGATCGCAGATACACCCCTCGCCACCGCCGCACTCAAGATCATGAACCCCAAACGCCAGAAAGAGAGAGTAGAACGGTCAAAGCAGAGTTACTCGAGCAGCTTGATCGTCTTTCTCCGCCACCAACACCAACTCCCGGACGTGCCGATAAGGGCAAGGGAAGAATGACAGCGGAACAAGTTGAAAACCTCGAAATGGAGCGTGCAGTGGAGCGGGAGCGATTTTTGGAAGAAATTGCTGCAGAAGACCTTTGGCCGGGTCCGGTTGCTCAGCAGCAGGTCAATTTGGGCGAGGTTCGTGAGCAAGGAGCCTCGACCTCTAAGCAAGGGGTTCAAACCAATCCTAAGCCTCTATGGCTTGACATGGGCGACCCCACTTATGTGCCGGAGCCGTTTGTGGGACTCCCAACCTCCAACAGTGGTGTTCATCCCCACAATGGCGTACCGCACCTTGGACTGGGCACTTCACCGGCATTTTCATCCGCATCACAGCAACCTCGTCCTACTCGTCGATCGACCCGAAAGAGGATGGCATAAATGATTTAAATTAGTAGAGAATTTTCTAAAACACAAGTCAACTATTCCAGCTAACAACTCGTATTGTACTACGTCATGTAATGAGGTCCAACTCTAGTCTGATCAATGAAAATTAAACAGTGCGAATAAGTTATGTGGTCCTTTACACGTCAAGATTTTGGTACATATTCGTTAATGTTTAAAGAATCCGACAATCATTGGCTAGAGGAGAATGTCTGGTCATAAGAGCAGGGTTGGAAGGATGATCACAAGGTAACTCTGAATTAACCTCGATACGCGCCTCGTCCCGCCACATTTGGATTGCTCGACTCTGCCGATGGACTCGGTCTATGCCCTTGTTGTGGCATCATTTGTAGATTCGGTGAGTACGATCGTTGCGGTGAATGGTATTGATATTGAGGATATTGCCGGGATGGGGATGATGAACGAGAGGGAGGATATTGCGGAGGGTACTGTTGGTAAGGCGACTCTGGCCCCGGAGTTCTTGTTCTTGACATTGGCTCATCGCTATATGTGTAACCTCTCTCCTGTGGTCTATGGACGGGGGCCTCTCGCATCATATACGCGTCAGAAGTATTATAAGGCAAAGGAGGTATCGCGGGCAAAAGTGATGTTTGGGACATCGAAGCTCGATAGTAGTCCATTGGATCTTGAGGTCCAATTGGCGAGAGTTCGATATCTGGCTGTTTTGGACCATTCGCTAGGTACCTATCGTAACTTTGTAACCCCATGGATCTTAAGGACGCATTATCACCCGCATAGAATCCGCCTTTTGCGGGATGCGAAATCGAGGAGCCGTCAAGGAATGCCGTAGATGCTATGGATCTTTGGTCCCAGTCCAACTCTCCGCGATCACGCCGGTATAATGCAGGATCGTACTCGAGATCGGTCTATAGCATTGCAGAGTTAGAGCGTTATCATGCAAAAGGACGATCGAATAACGCACCTGTTCAATGCCTGCAATTTTGATTCCACCAGGAACGACCTGGGCTTCCATCTTCTGTCCTCCATACTCATTCAGTTTGGCTTGATCATGGCCAAGCTTGCCTGAATACACTTGACTGAGCAAAGGCATCATCTTAGCATGGAGCATCGGCGTGAAGAGTTCGGCATGGAATGCAGGATGGTTGAAGCGCTTTTCAAGACGGTGGCTTTTAGCATCGGCAAGGGCGGAGTGCACGTGGGCCGCGCGAAGGTCCTCCTCTGAGGGTATGAACCAACGGAACGCAGGCAGGTAAACTCGGTTGATGTATATCTTGTATGCGAAGACGATTAAAATGGGAGGCAGAGTAGCAAGCCACTGCAAAGAGCTGAACTTGTACTGTAAACCAATCGCTGGAGAAAGGCATAAAAAAGGTGTCCCAAGGATATATTTTATCTTCGGACTTACTCAAAATCATAAGGGCTTGCATAAGGAGAACCGAAAACAAGAGACGGTTGATGACGACATTCCAAATGCGCTAAAGATTAGAGATGAATATACGTTCTTTGCGTGAGGTATATTACATACGCCACCAGATTCGACTTTCGAGACGAACACAAACATCAATTGGTATTTGTATACCCAGGAACTAACCCAGAAGACGATGGCAGCAGCAAGTACGACGAGAGGCGCAAGGGGTGCAAACACCAGCCCGACGGCAGCCATGAAAAGCTATACCTCTTTAGCACTTTTTTCAAAGCACGAATGAAAATTACTCACAAGGTAGCCACTGATTAAATGTCATTTGGTCAGGATGGAATAGCTAGCAAACGGAATACCACTCACTAATACACAGCGTATTGGAAATCCGGAGGTTGCGTCCATTCTCGAATGTCACGAGGTGTTCTCCCTAATACACTATGGTAACTTGAGTATCGCGTGTTTTTCACTTTGTACCAACGACGTACTGTGTCTTGAATGACGTCCATACCAAGTTGAGAATTTGAGCCAAATCAAAAACGGCAAGAAAACCTCGTAATCTATGAAGAGTTAATATGACATCCACGCTCTTTGATAGTCAACAGCTCACGGGAAGAAAGTTAACCAATAGGACGACTGATTGACATAAGTGCTATTGATCATGGCCGGAAGGGCTAGCGGAAGCGCATTGGAAAATTGACAACAAACACGAACGCTCAACTCACTGTGTAAGTTGCTGATAATTTCAGACAAACTGGCTTTCCGACCAATTTGCTGTACAATCTCCTTCACAGAATCTTTGCCATAATTAGATATCAGATGTGGGTGTCAGAAATAACAATACTTACTGAAAATTACTCCAATCAGGGTGAAGATTATAAGCTGACTGATAATCAGGAATGCATAATAACGTGCGATGACAGCACGATCCAATTTTGAATGAGAAGTTGCGCCCATGTACTACGAGAGTCAAATACGATAACCGTGCGTTGAATAGCTGCTTACCTTGGTCAACCAGCGCATGATAATTGGAAGGAAGAATCCAAAAATGCCCGAGACAGCCGGTGGCAAAACACCAGATACGATAGCAAATGTAACGGGTGAAGACACAGACCATTCGTTGATGAATGGGACGTATACCGTCAACTGCGTCTTGTAAGTAAAGTGTCGCGAAAAGTCTAATAAGCCACTTACAGAACTCAAGTTGGCCAGGACTGAAATGACAAAAAGAGGCACAGTATTGAAGAAACAGACAAGCGCTAGGAACCAGAAGCCAATTGTCTTCTTGCGAGCTAATTCCATATCAGACTTGCTCATGTTTTCCCAAATCTGTGCCAGATCCCTAAGCTATCGCCAGTGTCTGGATTAATTAATAACGCACAATATCTTTGGGGTTAGGAGCGAGTTGAATTGTTGTACCCTTCGGGTGTTTATTGCTGAGCAACTTGGCCACTATATGCGCATAAGGTACAGCAGCCATACTGGCAAAGCCGTAATTTTCAGGTTTTCGAGTATCAAACTGAGCCCGGTATTCCTCGATGGCGGCATCAGTGCGCTTTAGTTTATTACTTTGGTCCCAAAAAAAAGTGAATAGGACTTTTTGGCCACATAGGGGCGTG